CATTTGCCTGGGGGGGGGGGTCCAAAAAGGCAAACTGGGGGCTGCAGCCACGCCCTCGAAGCCCCACCCTTTTGGCACCCTTCCGGGAGGAAAGCCCTGGGTTGCTTAACCTCCCAGGTGCTCTTAGAGGCAGGCACCAGATCACCGCCAGGTACAGAAAAAGAAAAAACGGTCAGCTTAATGTATCCTGACAGTCGGCAGCAAATTCTTGGCAAAGAAGCTCTTACTTTGTGGGGCTTCTCATCTGTAAGAAATTGACAGGAGGAGAAACAGAGACAAAATTGCCATCAAGGCACTCTGCATCTGGACTGCCATGTTTCCACCTACTAAATTTAAATCTTATCGTTAAAGTTAAAGCACTTATCATTAAAATAAACTCTAAGCAGTGCACAAAAAATACCAACAGGGTAAAACATAAGCCATAATCAAGCCACTTCAATAAAATCGTACCGATACAAATATCCACGTAATAAATATTGATAACAACAAAGCATTCCGCATTAATGGAAGGGAAGGAACCGAGTCCAGAGGTTCATCTTCAGCCAATGCTGAAGGCTGCCAGGAAGGGACAGGCTCTCCAGAAACCCAGGATCCCCCTCGTCTTCATCTTTCCCTGCCGCTCCTCTTGCATTTTTGCTTCCTCTGTGAGTTCCAGCTGAGTTGGCTTTTCTTACCTTTCTAACAAAGATGCTCCCCAGATCGTGGAAGAGGGAGAGGGAAGGTCTTAAGTCCAGGCAGCCAGAGAGCCCCGAGGGGTTTGGGTGACTACTGTGGGGAGGGAGCAAGTAGGACCTGCCTCTGATCCAGCAAGGGGGTTCTGAGGCTGTTGGAGTCCCTTTGCACACCTGCGTTGGGTTTTGGAACTAGGTGCCCAGCTAAGAGAATCTTCCAAGGGTAAGAATGGCGATGTGAGGAAAATGCATCTTTGGGTGAAGAAAGTATGTTTTTAGAGGCTTCAGATGCATGGGAGCGCCTTAATAAAATTGAAACGTAAGAGAATGTGCAGCATCCTTGAAGCTGGGGTGGATGCGGCTGGTTGTAAAGATCTTATCACAGATGATGTGAACCAGGCTGGTTGTAAAAACCTTATCACAACCACCCCCATAACAGCCGAGGCATGAAGGAGGATGCGTTCTTCCTGGCATCTGGAACCTTGAACTGACCGTTTTCTTCTCCTTGGTACCGCTATGGTTTCCTTTGTGGATAGTAGCAGAGGGGCAGAAAGTCACTTGAGATTTTATGTATCTTCCTCACAGTGGTGCTTCGGGGGTATAGAAAACAGGCCCTTCCACCATTGTCTGGTATCTGAGGATTAAGCCTCAGGTTCTACTTAAAAAAAAAAAATCTGATTGCCAGTGGAAGGGCCAAAGATCAGAATCCAATCCAATTATGGGGCTGGTAGGATACTGGGATGAAAAGCAAGAGCTAAAGGAAGCAGATGGGACATTCCAATGGCCTTTCCTTCTCCCTGCTGCCCTGCCAGTTTTATGGGATGGCCTCTTGGACAGCCAGGTAAGCTATGGGGGACATGGGGGGCGGGGGGAAGGAACTTGCATTTCCCTCCATCCCCATTTCATGCTTCAGAACTGGGTCCGCGTTCCTGAAAAGTTGGGCAGCGGGAAGGAACCTGTTCCTCAGTCAATCACTGATAACAGAATGACTGGATCTGGTTGCAAGAGGCTCAACATCCACTAGATGGCAGCATTGCAGAGCTTTCTGTACCTCTTCATCGCCACCTACGGGATGTCAAGAGTTTTGCAGCCCAGAATTGAGAAAGAAAGGGAGGAAAGAAGGAAGCTGTGTCGCTCTTTGTAAACTGAATTAAAACCATCATGAATGCAAGGACACAATGGAATTTGCTTTGCTCCCAGATAATAAGTCATTTTAGGAAGAATGACCAGCTTATTGTGTTATGTTAACTTATATTTAAGTTAAAATATTTTTACTTCTGAATGAAATAATAATATAAGAATCTGAATCATGCCTCAGGACTGGCTCTAAAAATGGACACAAAGGATTGTACATTTAGGAAGTTCAGTTTTGGTGGCCACTAGAAGTGTGCGCAGGGTATGGTGCAATCAGTACTCCATCTGTTTTTTCAAGCATCACACGTAAAAAACATGTGGAGATTCAACTGCATCATCATGGCCACCATCTTGACTTTTTTGACCATACCACATGGACACCCCTGCACACCACCACCAAGTGCAGGTGTTGGGCATCTGTAGCAATCATCCATTCATTTCTTGCCATTTTCTGAATGGACACTTGTAGGCTGGAGGGGGCTGCAGGGCCCTAACCATTGCCCCAACAGGTAGCCCTCAGTTAACGACCACTCGTTCAGCAACCTTCGAAGTTATGACGGCACCGAACAAGTGGTACTTACGCCCAGTCCTCGACATTCCAGCCACCCCAGCATCCCCGTGGTCATGCGATCACAAGTCGGGCGCTTGGCGACTGGCTCGCACTTGCGGTCACATGATTGCCAGCAAGCAAAGTCAATGGGGAAGCCGGCAGGGAAGGTTGCAAGACGCTCCGGTAAGTCGCTCATGACCTCCCCTGCCTGGCAGCAGCCATCCCTGGCCCTCTGCACTTGCACCGTGCCTTACCTGCTTGCTGGCCTCCTTGTGAGCCACCTGGGACTCACTTAACGACTCATGATTCTCGCTTAACAATGGCCATGGGGACTGCCAGGATTGCCATCGCTAAGCGAAGTGGTCATGCAATGTCGCGCTTTATGAGTGCGTAGCTTAGCGATGGAAATCCCAGTCCCAATTGCCGTTGTTAATCAAGGACTACCTGTAAACTGAAAGGGTAATGAGGGGCCCCAGTTACTCCACCGTATTGTGGAATTGTGTCATACCCAGGACGAGACGGACTGCAGCAATGTCGCCTTTGCTGTAACCGACACTGAGGCAACCGTCCAGCTGGATACCCTGGAAACCCTGAAGAACCGTGTTGTCAAAGAGGAACTTTCCCACTGTGCATTTATCGGCCCTGGAGCTGAGGCTGCTTCCCGCAGTGACTGGGACCTTCCTTCTTTGAAAACATGTCGTCGTGAAGGAGGGGATCCTGCACAATGGAAGATGCTAGCATTTTTACAACAAGCATATACTGTACATCAGTATTTTTCATTCTAGAATGCTGGTTCTTCCCACATAAGTGTACTTAGCATCAGAGCAGGAGATGAAAAAACCTTTTTAAAATTCTGTAGACATGATGGTCCTATAAATCAAGGGAGTTTTGTTTTTTTTTTAAAAAGCACATAATGCACAGAGTTCTCCATTTATTTATTTATGCATTAAATCAGAGAAATTTTAACTTTTTCCCCACTTCAACTGATCAGAATTTTAGAAACCATCTTTAAATGGTTTAGCTGTGGGAAATCATTTAGCTCCATTGCTAGGGATCCCTTCTACTACTGCCATTCAGAAATTATGCCTGAATTGTGATGGCATCATAATTGGCTTTACATCAATTGCCGGATGTCACAGGTGATGGCGGCTGAAGGATATAATGCAACGAAGAAAGTGAAAAGTATAAAACTAACCGAGGAACAACCTAATATGGTTTTTGTTTTTAGATATAGAAATGAAGGTGGCTAAAAGACAAGGGAAAATTCAACGGTTTAAGAGAGAGCGAGGAAGGATTTGATCCCAAATTATCAGCTCAACGCATCTAAAAAAGGCTGAAAAGCAACTGGCTAAGAATACATTGAAAAGTGTGATTCAAATATCCCCTGAATCCTAGTGAGGCCCGAACAGAAAAACCAAGCAGATAAACAGAGGTTGGTATGTGCCTGATTATGAGGGAAGACCAAAATATAAGGAAAGATTAGCTACCCCAAAATCTCTTTTTTTGTCCAGAAAACTTTTTAAAAAAGTTATAGAGATGATGTGGCCAAAGAAAAATTCGTATTAGTGTGGTTTGTACCTGCATCCCAAAATTGCTAATGGAAAACAGTGTGTGCGTAATAACAGATGCAGATTAAAAGAGTGGCAGAGGAAAAGAGAGAACAAGGTGCAGATTGTGCCCTCTGGCACACGAGAGGTACACGAGAATTGATAACACACATTCTTCTGTATTGCAGGTTCTATATGACATCATGTCAAAGCTGCCAGTTTATACATTTATTGTGATGTTGTTGTTATATTGTGCTAACTATCCAGTGCCATGATGGTGAGGTGGGTGGCCGTATAAATCGAAATAAATAATAAATTAAATAAACAAACAAACCTTATTTTTCCCCGTCTAGCAGCCGTCCCCAGATAATCTGACAGCTTCTATGTTGATTTTCTGCTTGCTGAAGATTTCTTATACAACCGACAAATTTGTCAAGTTTTGTTATTTAGCATCAAGGCGTTGGCAGGGAAGCCATAATAGGAATGAAAATGGATTGCTTTACCTGCTTATGAGATCTATTTTTATTATTTTTCCTCTTTTCTCTTTGTCTTATTTGCTGGCTAAAAAGGCTGTAATAGAACTGATCTACAAGATGCAGATTTGTACAACAGAAGATCGGTGGAAAAATGATGCATAGAATGTGATGCTTTCTATATCGGAAAGGCCTTTGGTTAAACGTCAGGAGGAACATCTGGATTACGAGCTGTCGGCCAGCGGGACGGGCTGCCTCATGAAGTGGCGGTCTTCTTTGCTGGAGGTCTTCTGCAGAGGCTGGATGGTCCTCTGTCAGAGGTGCTCCACTGGATCCTGCACTGGGCAGAGGGTTGGACGAA